GTAGGGACGCAACTGGTGCACCAGGCGAACCTGGGCAAAAGCCCCCCTGGTCACAGCTGACAAATGACCTTAACCCTTACCTTAACCGTAATAGCGCTTCTGTTGGCGCTCTTTTGTCGACGCGCCTTTGTGGGCGCGCTGTTGACATCGCAGTTTTATCACCGCGGTTTTGTCGGGTGTGCTGTTGTCGGGCGTGCATTTGTTGGGTCACGACTGTTCTCGTGTACCTGATAACTCTTTGCATAACTGACATTCGCAAACGTTTTCATTCTTTGGGTTCCAAATCTGCAAAATTATAGCCAGATGTCATGTAGATTTCCAATGGAACTCACTTTTACATGCCACTGCTGTGCTTTTCTAATTTTGCAGAAATATTACTATTATATTCGCCATGGAATAGATACAGAGCATGTAGCCCCAATGGACGACTCGTGGCTGGAAAATGTCTTAGCTCTAGTACCCAAACATTTGAAAGTACTCAGTGAAAGTATCTACACACTCTCAGATGAAATGAGGGAGGACTATCTTCTTAGTGTAAAGAAGGCAATAGGTATGGACATCATAAATTATTTGTTACAAACTGATTCAGAAATGCAGACATTGTATTATTATATGTTTTTTTTAACCCAGTTACTTTCATACAATATTCTGGAGACCCTTATATTTCCTCAGCAGCATAAATTAAAATGTAATGGACCAACATTCCAGGAAAGCTTTTCACTCCTGCTTCCCACCAGCTTCAAACTATTATTGACCATAATAGCAAAGCATTGGAGGATTAGGATACTCATTTCCTGGGAAATGCCAATTTCCAGAATTTATGCCCAGGATCTTTTCTTGCATAAGTTTTCTTTAGCATCTTACAGAATTCCTCTTCCATGTAATGGCATTGGAAATGGATTCCTTCTTCAGGATTGGAAGTTTGGGAAAAAATATCACAATTTGAGCCTATAGAACGATAACTCTGAGTAGAGTTATGCATGCCTTCTAAATGGGGGTTATTATTGTTGGTAAAAATGTCTTGGAAGTAAACCTATAGTCAGTTAAAATGCATAAACAAACAGGTTTAATTTGGAAAAAAACTTTCTGAGTTTAAACTTTATTTCTTTGTTGGCAATCCTTATCACTTATTAGGGCACCCTGAGACTTATTCCTAAGTAAACATTAATAGATTGCAGTGTAGGTATTTTTTTTGTAACTAATGGATTTTATTTTATTTTATTTTGCTACTTCAGCTCTTTTCATAGATAGTTCTGCAAAACATTCTGAAATTGACTGTCTTTGTGTCGCATGTTTTCAGTTTTTCCTCCATAACACCTTTGAAGTCTTTAAAAATAATTGGTTCAATTCCTTTGGCTGTTTTTATGCTCTGCTGAGCTCATTTGTGTTCTGGTCTGTTTCTTTTAAAACCTTCTTTTAGTTGACTTTGTTTTAAGAGATCCCAGGGAAAAGGAGGAAGCCAAGAAGCAAGTTCTTCCACCTCATCGTCAAGAGTAAGAAAATGCTATTTCAACATCTTAGTCTGCAAAGCATTGTTATCACAGGCAAAATACTTGAAGCAGTTGTGTAGGAAAGCATTCTTCCGCATAACTAGAATAGGCCCCAGTAAACATTGTATTCAGGGGTGGTATTTACTTCTCTTCCCTACCGGTTCGCAAATGTGAGCGCACACGCCCATCCGCGCATGCACTCAGCCTCCCACGCATGCGCTTTGACTAAAAAAAAGTGCCTAAATGGGATGGCATGGAGCCGGGGCAGGTAGGCACGTGCATGGGCCCACCCATGATTTCCACTCCTGGTTCGGACGAACCAGAGCGAACTGGTAGAATTCCACCTCTGGTTGTATTCCTTTCTTCCATGTCATCATACATAGGACAGGTTTTTAAAATCCCTCCTTCTTTGAGGGAGATGGTTGGTTCAGAAATTTGAAAAATAAATAAACACACACACACACACACACACACACACAAACACAAACACTTACATGTACACCTACACCTACACGTACACATACACATATACATATACATATTGTTCTGACCCCCCTCGTCCTACACCAAAGCACACCGAGACAAAGATACTTCAAGGACTTTATTAACAGACAGACAGGACCTTGGCAGCAATCCAGTACAGTCCAGGCATTGGCAGCAATCCAGCACAGGCAAGATGTGGCAGCAATCCAGCACAGGCTAACCTTGGCAGCAATCCAGCCTTCCAAGCTAGCCTCAGAAGTTCTCCCACTTTAGTGCATACGTTGACTCCTGCAAAAGGGCGTGTGCACAATCAGTCCTTTTATAGTCTTGAGAGGAGCCTAATGACCATCAGCTGAGTGCACTTATCTCCTGTAACTGCGCAACTGTTCCTTCCGCCTATCAGCTCTTGGGTGCCGGGCATCCAGGAACAACTCCCTTGGC